CCTAACATGACAATATGCACTTGTGCACACATCTTAAATATCAGCAGCGAGTGATTTTTATCTTTTGTTACATCAACAGTGAGAAGTTTTTATAATTGAAAATTTTATACTTAATTATTTTATTATACTTAATCACTGTAGCAAGAAAATCTTACTTATGGTTCTCTTTCCACATCAACAATGAGAAATTTTTATCTTGACCACGAGGGCAGGAGATGAGGCCTGTTTATTTCAAACTCTAACACCATATCATTCGACGCTATTTCCCACCATCGCAACCTCTTGCTGCCAATCAGTTCTGAATTTTTTGATCTCAACAATCTCCATTTCTCTACGAACACAATATTCGCAACTCAATTATCAGCTACTTCATTAATAATTAAGTCGTTATTTGATTCTTATTATTTTCAAAATATATTTTTTATTATTTTCTTTTTAATCATGTATTCTTCAATAAAATAATATCACATGCAAATCAAAACAAAATTCTTATTTTTTAATTACATATTCTTTATCAATCTGCTATTATAAAATGCATTCTTGAGAGAAAATGTGGCTTAAACATGATCTAAAATTTTTCTAGTAACGTATTATATTATATTGAAGTAAAATGCAGCAATATAAAAAAAATACAAGAAGAAAGTAATGCATTCCACTTGCGCCTAGATAAAACAAAAATTATTAATTTTAATTATTGTATGGACGTTTAAGATTAAATAGATCAAAAATCACTGGCCAAAGGATAATTCATCATATGAGAAAACTTTTTTCTTTCAAGCCGAAACTATGTTACGAAAAATATTCAGATGTTCTAATTTTTTTTATAAATAAAAATCTAAAAAATTAAATAAAAAATTATGAAAAACATAAAAAAAAAATAGTTCAAACTTTTAATGATTATTTGCATAAAAATATATTTAAAAGAACTCAGATAAAATTATTCTCAATTGAAAGTCATTAATTTTTAATTTTTATTTTCTATTTTGGCCAACACTATTTATTATTTATTTTTATTTTACTTTTGAAGCGACAAGAATATTGTAAGATTCACCGATTTAAAAAATAAAAAAATAATTAATATATATATATATATTACTTGATAATATATTAATATAAAATGTTCTATTTTACTGAATAATCTAATTTAATGAAATAAAATGTTATAATTTTTTTTTTCAAAATTTCAAAAAAATGTGTTTTTCTAATAATCTGATTTAACAAACAGTTTTTCAAAATCACAAACCAAACACGTTTTTAATAATTTTAAAAAAGGTCATTAGATTACATTAACTGGACACTTGAAATCACGTTGGAAGTGAAATTAGACGGCTTGCCTGTGGTAGTAATTACATGCAAATAGGTTTTCATTAGCTCCCCTATTAGGGTTTTGCTAGAGTGATAGGGCCACATGGGCTCTAGACCAACGGGGGCGCCACAAAACCTCCCCTATTAATATGAATTGAGAAATGTTATTCATCCCCACTGGGGATGCGTCCCTAGTCTATATGACGTTGATGTGACATTAAATGATAGATGAAATTAAAGAAGTCATTTAATTTCACTTATCATTTAACCAATCATTTATATCCACATAGATTGGGGATGCATCCCCACTGGGGATAAATGACATTTTTCATATAAATTAGTGTATTTGTACACCTTGTAGTGTACAGAGTGTTTCACACCTCCCTCATATGAAGGGGGTCCACAAATATTTTATTGTGTGTGGACTCCCCTCAATGTGAGGGAGGTGTGAAACATTGTGTGAAATATTATGTACACATAACATTTTTCTAGTAATATACGTCTATTGATACAATAAAGTTTAGTTCAGTGGCCATCTCCCTGTTGGATAAACGTAAATTATGAAAGTACTCTCCTCGAAGGGTGAAGCATAACTGACATTGGAGTGACTGCATCTCTTCGAACAAGTACTATGACTTTTCCTTCTATCATTCAACAACTTATTTGAGGTTGTTACCAAATGACACTTTCCTATCAACCATGATGACTTACACAGATTGTGAATTACTCTATTAATTCACCAAATTAACATCATACAATTCTCTGAATCAATTCCATACATATCATGGAAAACAATAAAACTACCCATATCGATTTTCAAGTAGGCTCGATATCAGATGAATGATTCAAATGATGTTTGCGGTAGAAAAAAAAATAGCCGTAATTTAAATAATAAAAATGTTGTATGTAAAGAAAGTTGGTGAGAATTTGATATACAACACTTCTCATTGTAACATATTCATCAAAGATTTATTTCACCAATTATAAATTATTGGAGTCCAAAGGGAAATTTCATGTGGTTCATATGCATACAGTTTGGAGTCTAAACCAAAATCCAAACTTGCATCATAGTCAATTAATCTCAAGTCTATTATGGAGTATATTTGATATATTTTATCGGTGATTGTGTTGTTAAAAATTCCCAATTAAAAATGAACTAAAAATTAAAAATTGAAATACAAATTAATCGGGCCCTAAATTTTTTGATTTAATATTGGACCTGGGCTGGACTAGATTGGGCCGTAGTTTGGTCCAACCTTCCCCTAGATATAATGCCAATTAGTGCTCCTAGTTTTGGAGGATATTCTTTAAAATATCTTGTTTGCATTAAGACCAAAAATCTGTCCTTGGATGGTTTTATACCTATGGATGTTAAGTGGATTGAATCGAGTCCTTCAGCTTGACTCACCTGATGAGCTAGCCCGTGCTTGCAAATGGTTTGAGAGCACAAGCTAGCTCACTTCTAAAGATATTGGCTTAGGTGGCACTACCAACTTGTCCCTAGGTAGGGTGAGTCAAGCGCAACTAGCACATTTTTTATTTTTGTTTTTTACTAATTATTTATTTCCTTTTTGTTTCTTTGATCCCGGAAGAGCCAATGAGTGGATCTCATGGAAAATACCTAGCTCAGCTTGTCCCATGACTAGCCTCCGGGGTGAGTCGAGCTGACGAATCCGCAAGTGACTCATTACACATTGTTTGTTATGAGAGTTTTATTGGTTCCACCCACTTTTTTCAGTTATTCCTTTTCAATTTTAATTTTATTCAACTATAGGAACCATTCATGTTTTTGTCACTTTTCTTCACAAAATTTGATGGAGTTGATAATGTCCCTGAATGAAGTTTAGGTTGTTGAAATTCAAACACAAAGTATCCATGTCTCATTATTTGTTCCAGGCAAAACCGTAAATGCCGCACTGTAATCACAAAAATATAACTATTTGTGTAGTTTGCACTTCTGCCTGTATTAGTATAGAAATGATCTATTAAGCATCAGTACCTAATTATGTATATAAAAATGAATTATTAAGTAAAGATACTAACTTATGCTAAGAATAGAGGACAATTAAGTTTTTTTTTTTTGATAATCGTGGATGTTCGGGCCAATTTGCGCGCACTTCGACTAATTCCATGAGGCTCTGAAGTTTACGGCCAAGTACTCACTTCCATGGCTTTGAGAGGATTCAAACTGGTGATCACTGGAGAGCAAACTCAAAGTGTGACCAATTGAGTAACCCTTCAAAGTCGAGGACAATAAAGTCTTGTCTGATACCACTTAAAATTTGGATTAAAAGTCAGTTTTTGACCGTTGCACCACTCAATGGGCTGAATTTCACAGAAATGGGCTGCATGTGTGTGAGAAACGGTAAAAAAAAAGGGCTGAAAAATCAATTCTCTCATGTTGAAAATCAGTCCTAGACAAGATCTAAGTTTTGATGCAATGTATAGTTGAAAATTAGATAAAAGTTTTGGATTGGTGATTAAAATTAATTATTAAATTTGATTTAAACTTTCTAAGTTTTCCCAAACGAAGACGTAGATCATCCATCCATTACATGTTTCAACTGGCAAAGATTTACGTACTTTGGTACGTGTAAAAAGTGACCAACGCAACGCACGAAATCAAGAAATTTAAAGGGTACGTGGTTCCAACTAATCCGATTATGAAACTCCCATTTACATTAAATACAATTTGATAAAAGATTTTGTGCTGAAAATGAATTGTCATTCTGATTTCTGACAGTTGCATGGATTACAATATGAGCTCATTACTGACCTATTTCTGCTGTCACACGGTTTTTCCTTTCTAATTTTCTTCAATTTGAGGCCACAAATTTAGACAGCCAGCAATAGAAAAAAAAGGTCATTAAACCAATTTTGTTTGAACTTTAAACGGTAACGCGATACTTACGCGATGTTAAAGTGAAAGGATAAAATTTCATTAAGGTTCATAAAACCTTTATCTTCCTTTTAACTCACTCTCGATATGAAGTAATCTCGATAACGTTCAAATAATACGAGTGTCAAACCTAGAAAGACCAAGGATCCGGGAAGAATTTTACATTTTTACCCTTCTTGCAATCCCATTTCCTCAATAAATACGAGAAAAAAGGGAAGAAAAACCTTTGACCATCTCCAATTATAAGACAACTATTACTATATTAGTATATTATTACCAGTATGTATTTGGATGTCTGTCCTTGTGCCCATGTCCTAGATTTCACCCATCACCCTTCGTTTGGGAGGTTTTCGTGGTAGTGGTTGTCTCTCTCTCCCCTCCACTCTTTTCTTCTTCTTCCTCTCTCTTTCTCTCTCTATTCTTGATTTCTTCTATATTCCTCTCCCTTCCCTGCACAACTCTAGCGCCATCCTAAAACGCTGTAATTATGTCACCATTACTATTTCCGACCTCATAACTTCTTGGATCTTGAGACCCTAAATACCCATTTTCTTGTTTTCATTATTCCCCTGTTTTTCATGTTTATATTTGGATTTTTGTTTCTCTCTTGATCCATTTGCCGGAGCCCTGAAGGCTGCATCCCACTTGGTTTGATGCATGTATGGAGAATTTGGATTGCTATTAACAATTCAATTCAATATGTTTGCTTGGATTAGGCAAAGAAGCAGCCTTTTTACATTCTTCTCTGGAAGGAAATTGAATTGAACCTCTTTAAGTTTTCTCAATGGGAACAAAAATGAAAGGGATTTATAAAGGATTCAAATATACCCTGTCTCAAATCTTTGGTATGCCTCTAACATCTTTCTATAAGTATATTGGTATCCTAACTTTTTCTGGGTTTTTTTTTTTTTTTTTTTTTTTTCATTTTGGGCATAAGGTGAAAATGGTTTTTCTTTGTAGTTGTGAAGGAGGATCGGGAAATAGAGATAGGATACCCTACAGATGTTAAGCATGTTGCACACATTGGATGGGATGGCTCCTCTGGTAGCGCACCTAGTTGGGTATGTATATTTTGGTTATAAGTTTGATGAATCAGTTGGGTACTGATTTTGCTTATTTAGTTCTCTCTCTCTCTCTCTCTCTCTCTCTCTCTCTCTCTCTCTCTCTCTTCTATCAATGTCTGACCTTTTGATTTCTTGTCAAAATGTAGATGAATGAATTCAATTCGGGGCCTGATTTTTCGGCAACTTCAATTGGTAATACTGGGTCTGCACTTTCTCCGTGGTCATCTCAAGGTTGGTTTTGAATCTTGACATCAAGATATGTCAATAACTGAAAAGAGCACAACTTTTTTTTTTCTTTGGAACCTCAAATGGTACTTTGAGAATTTAAGAATGGGCACTTGATCGTGTAATTACATATCATGTGAAATGGCCCTAACTGGACAAGTCTAGAGCTTGTCCAATGGTTGCATTTTTTATTGGAAAATGTTAAAGGTTCCTTAATATATTTTTGTATTATAGACCTGATTTTCGAGAGAGGTAAAGTTCCCAAGATTCTTTGCACATCAAGACATTGGTAGTATCTGTCTAGAAATAGGCCATTGAAAAGATTGTTTTGTGGTGCACGAGGTTTATATATTTGATTTTTAGACTTGCATCAGTACCCTGAACTGTATTCTCGGAACACCTTATGCACTGGCACATTATCAATTGGAAAGATTGTACAGATTTTGTTATTAGATAGAAGTGGAAAGTTTACATAGTTTTGAAGCAATCGATATTGCAAAGCATCTGAGCAAACTTGAATAATGAGTAGGAGCAAAATATCTAAGCTTTCAGTTTCGATTTTGGGTGGAAAAGAATATGCCTGAGTTTCAGTTTTTGCTAGCAGTTCGTTATGTAATTATAGAAAACTATGGTCGATGTTATATTGGGCAGAAACAAAACTACGATCAATGCAAAATACGGTTTGACATAAGCCATTGGAATATTCATAGAAATGTGAAAATATTCTGTGGCAATTGAGCATGTTTGTCATGTTTATTGAGCTAAATTTGGCTTAATCATATGAAATTCCTATACACTGGTTGTATATTTTTCTGTATTTCCTTTTCTGACCAGCAACTCAATTTACCGTTAACCCCAAATATTTATCTGAAATTTAATGCTGTCATTATGAGAAGCATATGAACGAGGAATTTATATATTTTTGAAGTTACTTTCAAATCTCAGAAGAGAAAACAAGATGTACCTTTAAAGTTTACTTTTGTACGCTTCATCTCTTCTGTTTCGTGGCATTACACGGGGTGAGTTGACAGTAAAAACTAATCTTTTGAACATTCCAGTTTTTGTCATATAGAAAATTCTTCTTAGAGCTAGACTAATCTTCTCTTCATACTCATTCTTAGAGCTAGAGTAATCTTCTCTTCATACTCATTCTGCAAAGTTGCTTCCGAAGATCCAACTGTTTGTATCAGTAAGTTTATTATGATCTCAAAGAATTCAGACTAGTAAATTTCTTGGGCTTCTGAATTTGGAACCATGTTATAAGATATACTGAGAGGGATAAAGTTTCCTTTAGAGCGCTCCTCTAATTGATGAAAAAATACAATAAAAGTTAGGATACATTTATTCAATTAATATGAGCAAGTTGTCATCAATGAAGTGCCTTGAGGGGTTTCAAAAGGTCGTGATAGATCTTGTGATTTACGGTAAAGCAGGTTTTTTGTTAAATTCTTGGATTATCGAGTCTTGTTACTTTCTTATGGTTGATTTTGTTACTATTGAATCTTCGGAGCAGATTTTGGACAATCTTTGCGGCAGCAATCAGCAACTGACAATTACAAGGACATAACCCCTGCAGAACTTCCCAGTACTCAGAAGAAGCAGAAACGGAAGAAGTCTAAGTCAACGCCCTCTCCAAAGTCTGGTTCTTCCTCATCAAGGTCATCACGCGTAGCAAAATCTAAATCTAAATTCATTGAAGGCAATGCAAAATTAACAAATATTGAAGTCGCCTAGTATAGCAAATCCTGTCATGCTAGACAAAATTTTTGCAATTCCCCTTGTATTTGGTATGGTCCATGTGGAAGCTAAGAAAACACAGAATGTAGCGCAGAAAATTTCATAAATTGAGTGCAGGTTCATTGCAGATGTGATTAAGGTGAGAATCAGGAGAAGACAGGAGATCTAAAGTGGAAAAGGTATATCTGATGTTCGAAAATGGCTGATTTTGAGAAATCTGACCTTGTTTTTCTTCTTTTCGTCTTTGCTCCTCCTTTTGGAAGTGAGTGAAGGTCCTTGTAAAGAGTTAATATCATTTAGTTATGCTGATGAGAATTGTGCCGGTGCAAAATTATTGGATTTGAACACATACTAAGTTGTAGTCCAAGTTTTCTTCTATCCCTTGATTTATGTTGTTCTTGTAGTCCTGCTGGTGTTTTGTCCCTGCAAAATATATTATTTTGATTTATAACTATTGTACAAGTTTTGTCAAAGCTATACGAGGAATCTCGCTTTTTCCTTAACTGAAACTGGTGATTTAACTGATTTATAACTAATATGGTCTGAAAAATGGTAATAATTTATACTTTCTCGTCTTTCTTCATTGTGTATATCGGCAGAGCACAAGACTACAACGACGATAAACCACCACCAGTCCCTCCTCCAGAAGAAAGTAACTGTTAATCGGATCTTTCTAAAATATACATTTACATAAAAAACACAAGAGCATCCTCATATGATGAATGCAACTGCACAACCCTGGACTTTTAGTTTTAATGCCACTATACTGAATGCAGGCATGTATGCGCTCAAAAACTGGAAAATGTTCTTCGGGTTTCATAATCGTGAGATTTTAGGATCTGCATCCAATGGAGTTATTTTTTAGCGCGACGATTTCCCGGCTGCTGTGGGAAATGGAACTTCAATTGCTGGTTATCATCAGAAGGATTTGATGACTTCAGTTAACACTGGAGATTTAACGCAAATTCAAGTTGAGATTGAATTAACAGGCACTCAGTTTGGGATCAAGCCACTGGGATATCCTATGCCAAAGACATCAAACTTATGAATGACGGATACAAGTATCCAACGCTGTTGGCATGAGCTGTCTACAGAAGAATTAAATGAGCAAATTAAGGGATGTGAATTCCTGCATTATGGGGTCAACATAATCAATCAGAGCCAAAATTATCTATAAATTATAGCAAGATATGTGTATACCAAAATAGGAGTAATGTTTACTGTGTATATATACCATCACCATTGCAATTGATGTGAGCAACTTTAATACAATGAAATAAAACCAGAAATTCTTTCTCCAGAATAACATGGTATCAGAGCCGGTGTATTGATCCAGCAACAGTTCGGAAAAAAGAGGAAGCAGAATCGAAAACAGATGTATCTTTCACAATTTAGATTTTTTCAGCTTTGCGCGACCTCCACGAAAATGGATGTATCTTTCAAACCGTAACTCAGAATTGCCCAAAGGTCGGCTTAGAATTTAAATGCGAGACATGTATTTTGGCTAAAAGCCATCAGATTACTAACCCTTTAAGTTTAAATAAAAATATAGCCCCTTTTACACTGATTCATTATGATGTGTGGGGTCCGTCCCCAAAACCTACTATGCTTGGCTATCGGTGGTTTGTGATATTTATCGATGACTGCACTAGGATGACATGTTTATATTTGTTAAGACACAAAGACGAAGTTTTGATACATTCTGATCCTTTTATGAGATGATTAGCATCCAATACTGTACCAAACTCAAGGTTCTTCGCTCTGATAATGGCGGCGAATATGTGAATGCTCAGTTCCAGGATTTCTTTCGCCAGCATGGAATGGTTCATGGGACGTCATGTCCTCAGATACTGCAGCAAAACGGAGTTGTTGAGCGAAAAAATCGCCACATCCTTGAGACTGCTCAAGCCCTTCTTCTTGGAGCTAATATGCCTAGTCATTATTGGGCAGATGCAGTAATGACAGCCATTCATATTATTAACAGAATGCCATCAAAAGTCCTTAAAATGCAGACTCTTGTCCAAGCATTATCCACCTTCGTCACCTTACCTTCAGTCTTGATGATTCCACCACGTGTCTTTGGATATGTCGCCTTCGTTCACCTCCACAAGAATCAACGAACTAAAATTGATCCTCGTGCAATTCGGTGCCTTTTCTTGGGCTACAACATATATCAAAAAGGGTATAAATGCTACGATCCAACTCATCAGCATGCATATGTGTCACTGGATGTTACATTTCTGGAATCAAAGACTTTCTTCATTCTAAAACATCCACTTTTCCTCTTCAGGGGAAGAATCATGATGAAGAGGTAAACTGGCTGCGGTTTGATTGGATAGGATTAAATGACCCAGATATACCTTCTCCGATCGAAATTGAAGGCACTATAGAGACAGAGATGAATCCTCACAGATTTAATGACCCAAATATACCTTCTCCGATAGAAATTGAAGGCACTATAGAGACAGAGACGACTCCACACGTAGATCTCTCCCACTCCTCAACATCCATCGACCCTTCTCCTGAGAATATCATCGAGGTAAATTCTCCTATCTCTCCAATTACACCTCAAATTTCTAACACCATAAATACCCCTGCTCCTGCTGGCTATGAGTTACCTTTCAGGTATAATCGTGGTAAGCCACCAAATTGATACTCTCCGGAGATATAAGAACAACGGTCAAAATATCCTATCGCCAACTATGTATCCACTATAAGCTCCCTAAACCAGTGAAGAGTTTTGCCAACGATCTTTCATCTCATCACATTCCTACTACAGTTGAAGAAGCATTAAGGGATCATAGATGGGTTCAACCTATGAAGGAAAAGATAGATGCCCTACTAAAGAAAGAGATATGGGTACTCGTCTCACTACCCGAAGGAAAGAAGACGGTGGGATGCAAATGGGTTTTCTCCATCAAATACAAGGCGGATGGGTCCATTGAACGTTACAAGGAAAGATTAGTTGCCAAAGGTTATACACAAACATACGGAGTTGATTATCAAGAAACCTTCTCACTAGTGGCTAAACTGAAGACGATTAGAGTCATATTATCTCTTGCCACAAATCTTGATTGGCCATTACATCAGCTCGATGTGAAGAATACATTCCTTCATGGTGATCTCGAAGAAGAAATTTACATGGACATCCCTCCTGGATATATGGCAAGTTCTGAAGCAATGGTCGTGTGCAAATTGCAGAAGACTTTGTATGGTTTGAAACAATCTCCTCGAGCTTTGTTCGGGAAACTGAGTTTGGCAATGAATAAATATGGCTTCAAACAAAGCAACTCTGATCACACTCTATTTCTGAACACCGACAAGGTAGGATCACAACACTAATTGTCTACGTTGACGATATGATCATTACAGGAGATGATGTAGACGAGATTGCAAGACTTCAAAATCAGTTAGCATCAGAGTTCGAAATGAAGAACTTAGGAGGGCTCAAGTACTTTTTGGGCTACTGGATTGCAAGCCTACTGATGTACCTATGATCCAAAACCATCGACTTGGGGAATATCCAGACTAAGTTCCAACTAGAGGTGTCAATCCGGGTGGTCCGGGCCGGCTCGGCCCGCCAACATGTGAGCCCGGTAACAGCCCGCGTGAAAAAAAGCCCTCTCGCTGCGGGTTCCGGGTCGGCCCACAATTTTGGACTACAACCCAGGCCCGCCCGCTGACCCATCCGGGTCGAGCCCATGCGGGTCACGGGTCGCGCGGGTCGTGGTTGGTTCCGGTTTGGCCCGTATGATTGTATAAATAAAATTATAAAAATATAGAATTTTTCCGGTTTGGCCCCATATGGAGAGCAACTATCAT